CAAAAAAAAAAAAAAAAAAAAAAAAAAGTAACTTCCACACATTTACAGTATTCCATTGTTTTGTACGGCTACCAAGAATCATCCTGTACTGCCTTTTTTGAGGTAGTTTACCGGCCAGCCTGACTGACAGAAGTAGGGTTCTTTGGTGCTGTTGAGGCTTTCCTTGGCCTGTTGGCCATCAGGTGAACAACGAAGGTGTTCGTTCAAAGTGATATGCTTCTTTTAAAGACTTACAAGAGGCATCAGTGAACAAAATACTTGCCTGGTGTGAGTACTTAGTATAGACATGACAAAGCATGCCATAAACCAAAGAAGAGAGTAATGTACAGGAGAAACCTATCTCAAGAAAAGTACTTTTTAACTTCCTACATTGAAAGAATCTGGTTCCAATTTTATGTCTAGAAGCATAAAAAAGCATTCACTAAACGAATCAAAAGCTTGTATGCAAGCACATACCTTTGCCCAGCAAAATAAAAATAGCTGCATACTGTTTAACAGTGCAAATATTTCCTCATGTTTTTCCACTTATCCTTCAGATCTACCCGTAGAAAAGAATATCCAACTTGTCATTCAAGATGAACTTCCAGTTGTTACCAAACCTTTATGGGAAAACTAGAATCATGAGGAATATAAAGGATTAAGAGCTTAACGAACTGCTAGAACAACATATCTCCTGTTTTTTGCTTAATACAACAAGGCAGTTGTATAAAAGAAGAGACAAATTACACTATCTATATCTACCTATTATTACCTGCAATACGTGAGTGTGAACAAGTAAACAATATTTCATGAAAAGAAAAAGAAGCACATACGATTCCACAGCAGTCCTTCAAATATCTTCTTCACGTAAAGACCATCGTTTATTCTTTCTCCTCGTTTTAGTTTCATTCTTCTTCTGTGCTGCAACAGCTTTTCTCTTTCAGCTAGGCAGGCGAATTCTTCTTTCAAGTTTGGCTGCTGGTTTGGGTGAGCCATCCATTGATTCAACCGACTATGATAAAAGCATCATTCGATGCGCAAAACATACTTTTAGATTCAAACTTTGAGGACCAAATGAGCAATTAAAATAACACATTACAGTGGATCACGTTAATCATTGCCATTTATTTTCAGAAATCTAATTGGTGTATTATCTTTCAATCAATTAGACACCATTTATTAAAATCATCTTGCAAATCTAAGACAGTAATAAAAAATCAACGAGAATGGTACATGACATACAAAACTAAATTAAGATACTGACTCCTAGAAATTTTGGGCCATCTTACCTCACATGTTCGGACAGTACTATTACGTTCCAAGAAGCTGGTTCGAAGAACTTTCTTTTGAATATTAATATCAAAGCATTTTGCAAGCTCAGTGCTCGGATTTGCTTCATCCACTTCCTGATCTCCACTCTGGTTTTCCAAGGGTTGCTCACTATTCACGTCTTTTAGTTGCAAGTCAGAGATGACCGTTTCAACCACACATAAGGGATCACAAAGTTCGACTGTCGTTAATGTCTGCACCGCCAAACATTGAACATCAGTTATCTTGCTATTATAAACATCATCTTCCTTACAAAGTTCTTCACTCAACCTCAATCCTTCGCCGAGATTAAGCAATATCAGGGCCGCTAAATTTTGCTCATCTAGGTCATCCAATTCATCTCTATCACACTCAGCGTTCAACACTCTTTTCTTCTTGTTCATCAATCCATCCGCGAGCTCTAAGAATGAAGGGCCCACTAATCCCCACGCCTCCTCCAAATAAAGCCGAATACTAAACAGAGCATCATTCCTCGTATTCATTCCACACAGCTTCCTACACGCCTCTTCGGCGTCGAAAACCGAGTTAACCTCATCCCACCGTTTCTTCAGCTCGGCCGATACGAGTTCGCTCTTCCCGTACGTCTCCAACCGCCCGATTCTCCCTCTCCAAATGCGATTCAACGCCTTCGAGTACTTCCCTCGAGGCTTCCCCCCGCTGCTCACCAAGAATTTCACCGTGCACTCGAACGCCACCATACAATACGCGGCTCTCATGGAGTCCAGAATGGCATTGCCCTGACTCCTATCCAATTCCTCCAGAATCTCCAAAATCTCCAGTACGCCCTCGGTGACGGACCCGTCTCGCATTCGATTGCTCGAAGAAGCACCGTCTTCTTCAAGCGCAGGTCGTCGTCGGAGACCGGCAACACCGCCAGTAGCTTCCGTGCCAAGCCGCCCATTTCGGGCTGCCGAAGAACAATTTCCAACACCCATCTCGCAATGTCAACATCTGACCCCATTACCTGAGAAAATCAAAATCTGGAGAAATTGAAGTTCATAGAGTTAGGGCTTTTTGTGCTTCCCTTGCTTGGAGGTGAAACCAACCTCCCACGAGCTCGGAATAAGAAAAATGGCAGCAAAAGAATTTATACAAAACTAGAGCCTTAGAAGAAGCTTCTCTAGGGTTTAGGAAGCTTCTTTTCTTCTTCTTTCTCATCAAATCAAGATTATAAAAGTAATTACATTTCCCAAAAGAAAAAAAGAGTGTCAATGAAGAAAAGTTCGGATTCGAGCTAAAAACAAAAAAAAAAAAGAACAAAAATTAAAAGAGAATCAAACCTGTTGAGATTAGAGAAGGTAGAAAGAATAATCTGTCAATCTGCTGAGCCTTTTTCCGATAGCATGGAACTCAGAGAAAGGAATAAACGGAAGAAAATGAGAGAGATGATTGAAAGACCTGTTGAAGCGGGAGAGAGAGAGAGAGAGAGTGAGAAAGCTGAAATTAATTTCAGGCCAATAAATATGCAGTGAATTTCAAAAGCATTCTACAGTCAAACAACAAAATAAACTATTAACAAAAAGAGAACTATTTTACCGCGCCTATAGAAAATCAGCGCGCCAATTTTGATGATTACCTGTTTTTATGAAGGCCTACAAACTTCAAAGCCCATGAATGACCGACCCAAAGATTTTTTATTATTTTTAATTTTTTTAACCCTTCTAATCTAAACATCCCATCCAATTAAGTTCAAGATCCCGATTGAATTCATCTTTTAGCTAAAGTGGCATTCGAGTTCGATAGAAAATTGATTAAAAGCTCAAGCTGATGCTTTAAGATATGGTTTAGATTAAAGAAAGAATAATGAAGAGAAGAGTTGATGAACCATCAAATTTGAGTCATTACCAGCATAATTATGGTTTAAAAAATGGGGAGCTAATCTTGTTACACACGCTATTGTTTCGTCTAGTAAGTTAAAGTCGGGAGACAAGGGGTGACCTCATCATTGAACGATAAATGTAGTTTAAGGAAGTACACAAGACACAATTATAACATATCGTACACAAATTGATCATTAAATCAAACAATATATCCTTTATTTGGTGTTATCAATATAATATCTTCTAACAGCTATCGCTAAATCTCGGCATGTTATATTACCTTAAAGAAGTGATTCCTGTTATCCTTCGAAATGGCATGATTAATGTTTCAAGCTATTCACATATTTGAATTGTGTGTGGGCCTATGGTATACTAATATCCTTTCTGCCTCATCTCATCCGTATTAATTTTTAAGGAATTATTAATCATAAGCTTAGTAACTAAGGCTGCCACATATTTGTGAATGGTAAAATTTTGGCATGTCTATGAAATAGTAATATTTTATGCTCATCAAAATATCTTTAAGTATTAAGAAGAATCCCTTAAAATGGAACATGAACAAACTTTCTTAAACATCTCTGAGTTTTGCGTATTCTCAAAGCAACTAGCAACTGTAAATAAGAAATGAAGGATTAACTACTACTCTTTCTCAAATATATCTTGTGCTTAAAATTCTTTTTTTTTTTTTTTTTTTGAAATTGCTTGTGGTCCAAGATCAAAACTAGCTAGTCTTTCCTAATTAAGGCCTGCCAGCTTTCTATGATAGGATATAATTATCCATATCGATGGTGCATGCTTTTAAATGTTAAATCTAGTTAAAGTTATATAAAAAAAATACAAAATCAATATAACTCGATAAAGATTTAATAATTAAAAAAAAAGTATTTTGTTGAATTTATAGAGTCATATTGTCTTGACGAAGAGATTTTGACTGATCTTGTATTTTCAATTGCATTAATTTTACTTATATTGGGAGCATCATATTTAGAGATAAAATTAGAGGAGAGAAAGAAAAAAAAAAAAAAAAAAGACACAAACAGTTAGATATAGTAAGCCTGAGGTGTATTGATTCTCTTTTAAATTTTTATTACAAAAGCTAAAAATGAACGTAGTTGTTACATAACCACTACAAATTTTATGTGTGCTTTTTTGTCTTTCTTTATTTTGAAATGCGTATTATACGAATTATCATAAGACTTAATAGCAGTAATTTTTTTCCTATTAAAAAAAAAAAAAAAAAAAAGAAAACAGCAAATGATTTGGGCACATGAACATGACCAACACCTTTCCTAATAAAAATGCAATAAACGTAGCCTTGGAAAGCCTCACACCTCCCTCATTTTTTAATTTATATCCTCAATAACGAAACGACACCTCCATGATAGCGTTGCATTTCCCGGAGGGTTGAATATCAGAGAATACAATGAACACCCATCACAAAGAAAGCTTTGTTATACGAGTAGAAAGTAGTAGTACTGCTCAAACCCTCCAACATTCTAATAAAAATAACAATATCTCTCCAAAGCTCAACTTCTCAACCATGAAGCTCTTCAACCGCTTCCGAAAGCTTCTCATGAGGTTCATATTTTCTCTGCCCTCAAGAAGGTCGTCTTCGGCCACGCAGGGAATGACTCCGAGGCATCGAAACTCTGATAGATTCGAGCCTCCGAAGACCTCTTGTAGCTCTTACTATTCCTCTCACTCGCATTACAACGAGGCCATAGCCGACTGTATCGAGTTCTTCAACAAGTCGTCGCAAGAGGCCGGGATTTTCGAAGGTCGAAACTCCGATATTTTGGTTTGATTACTACTGCTGTTATATATCAATATTCTTCCTTGGTGTGCATCATGTTTACCATATTGGTTTTTTGCTTTTCTCTTTTTTCTTGCAGCTTCGTCTGGGGTAATATTTGTTCGCTATATATATATAGATATGTGTTTCTCTTCCATTCTCTGAAAGAGAAGTTCCGATGTTTTCCACATGTAAGAATTTTCATTATTATGTGGTCCATGTGAATTTATGGATATTTCTCTTTTAAAAAAAATTAACGTAATCGTTTAATAAAATATAAAAGGGTAAGTTCGATTGGTCAACTTGGAAAATGGAAGTTTCTCTAAATTAAGGGCTCTTTAAAGGAAATAAAATATTTGACGAAATTAGCAAATTGATCCTCTCTCCCCACCTATTAGGTTCTATTACGTTAGAAAGAGGGTAAGGGCTAAAATCTCTTTTGCAATGGAGATCAAGGTATGTCCTATTCTTAATCATTAAATTGTAAAAATTATATAATTCTAAGATGTGAACATTACCGTTTATATAAAATTAAGATTTATTTGCATAATTAAAGAATTACTTACACCACAGTGTTATTATACATTGATTTTTTTTTTCTCACCCGGTTTGAATTGAGAAATACCTTTTTTTTCCCTTTAATTCCGTTTCTGGCTGGAAAGAGAACTTTAACGTGTTGTGCTTTTAATTTTATAACGTGATCGTCTTGTGGGATATAAGAGGGGAAAATTTTTTGAGGCCAACGAGCTAGTTAATGAATGTGATGTGGAATCAGTTTCTTTTTTTTTTTTTTTTTTTTTTATAAATCATAGATAACGCATGAAGATTGAAGATTATATAGGATTGGTTTTTTTTTTTTTTTTTTTTTTTTTGCTGAATAAAAGTAATAGGATTCGTAATTACACGTGCTAGTTAACTTAGTATCAGAAGACAAAGAAAAAACAGAAACCAAATAGGAGATAATAGCAGGATCGAAGACACTAGTTCGTTCCAATACAAGATAATTCAGAAGCAATTTGCCAACAAAAAAGAGGGTGGGTGGGGCAAAAACTGCGTCCCATGTTTCGCAACAAAGAAAAGATCACATAATGTCGTTTCATTCTCAACATGAAATAGATAATGAAAACGGTGTGTCGTTTTCCAATTGCAAAAACGACATGTTACAGAAATTTGATTGGTCAATGTTAAAGAAGAAACGATATGTAGCTTGCATGTACAAAGACGAAATGAATGAAAAAGATATCCTTAATGTTTCCAGAACAAAAACGACAAAAGTAGGTAGACAAGAAAACCATATGTAGGTCTCCCCAATATGCAATGTCGTTTTTTTTTTTTGGTGGAATGAAATGTCCCTTTTCTTATATGATAAACGACGTGACCTTTCTTCTGTATGGATAAAAGATAGAACATGGCGCAAGGTTTGCTCTTTAAGGGGAAACGCAACACGAAAGACAAATGACATGTGAATTTGTCTTTCGTATTCACCGGCACCAACAAAAAGAAAAACACAAGTGCTTAGGGAAAGAAAAACGAAGTATATTGATCAATGCAAGGAATTTTTATTTTATTAATCTAGAAACTTTTTATTAACATATGCATATAGTAGATCTTCATCTCATCCTAAGCCAATCCTATTGGCTAAAATTGCTCCATGAAATTCTCATAAACATACAAAACAAAAGGTAAAATAAAATTAAAAAAAAAAAAAAAAGGTTTTGGAATTATTCTTGGGGTCCAAAACAGTATGTTGTAACATAAAAAGTGTAGTACTTGTGTAAGTTTGAAGTGGAGGTTATGCTAATTCCGGGCTTGCTTTCTTCTTTGAAAAGATCCCTCCTATCAAAGGAATCAACGGTTTCTTCTTCTTCTTCTTCTTGAGAGAGGGGTGTCTCGCCAATCTCTCAACACCTTGAGGGATCATAACTTGAGCCAAAGAAGGAGGATTTGCAAATGTCACGTATCTTTTCTTTTGGAATTCAACCCCTTCACCAGATGTTTGTGTTTTGATCATCTCAAATCTCATTGAATCTTCAACGAACTTGACGTCCTCAATCTCAGATTCTATTTGGTGTTTCTCGGATTCTCGTTCCTTTAATTGTTGAAGCTCGTGTTTTGTCCGTTCAAGCTCTTGCTTAAGAGAGGAAAGACAATTTTCCATTAGCTCACTTTCTTCTCTAGCTTTTTGGAGGTTTTGTTTTGTCTCCTCTAGCTCAGCCGTGACAGTCCCAATCCTAGAAGGGCCATGCCCATTTTCATTTTCTTCACTTTGCATCTAATATAAGCAATTATTTTATTGATTAGTAAATAAGACGATATACTTATACTCTAATTCACACTAATCAGAAATATGTACTTCTATGTAGAGGATGGTATAGGGAACTCTTAGCTTGTTTAGTGCTACAGATCATTTTTAACTGCAATGGAATAGTTTTCTAGGCTGAAATGGCACAAAGGCCTTAGCAAAAAAATATACTTTGAAAGGGGAATGTTATATGTGAGTAATCAGGCCTTTCTTAATTTGAAAGCCAAGAAGATCTGATTCCTTATAATAAAGCTTACATGTGTAAGCTATATTTATATATTGGACATTAATCATATACTACAGTACTAGCGCTGCAGGAAAGTGAGTAATTTATTTAATTACACACTTTATTCCCTTCGCACATGATAATGAAACCTAGAGCAGAGGCAACATTCTCAGAGCACAATCATTGGAAAACTGCAGGGTATGTCCAATGCCTTGAGACCAATGATGCGTGTATTATCTATAGCCGTTAAAATATTTAATTTCATCATTCCGAGCAAAGAAAATAAAAAATAAAGATTATGAACAAAAAAGAAGAAAGATTATGATCTGTTTATTTTTTATATTCATACACTAGATTGTTATGTGTTACTACTCACTATTCCTTATGTATCAATTCATAACATACTTAAAAGCTGCTAGAAAATTCTACTGGAACGTTTGCTAAATTCATGTTTTTTTTGTTGTTGTTTTTTTTTTTTTTCTTTAAAGAGTGGTGACATGTGTTTGCATACATAATCTAGTGGTAAATTCACATTTAGCTCATCACATGAAATCTCCGACCTAACTGTCAAGAAGGGCAAGGAAAAATAAAATCCATATGCCCTTTATAATGAGAAGCAGAGAAGGTCCTTGGTGCAAGTTGTAACTGTATTCTGTGTAGCAAGTTAACATGTCGCTAATAACTAAAACAAAACCAATTTTATGAGTCAAAACATTAAAAATCATGTAAAGCGAGCTACTAAATAATGAGTGGTACCTCTTTGAGCTTGGTGGAATAGAGTTCTCCAGCCAAAACTTTTTCTCCAAACAACGTGACGGCCTCTTTGACTGACCGGAAAGGAGCCCTCGTATCAATCTCTGCCCTCTTCATCATAACACGCACTCTTTCGCTCTCCATTATAACTGATCACGTTTTTCTTCACTTTGAGAGAAACAGAAAAGAGGGACAACTATGAAAGGTGATGGCAAACAATGAAGTTGTTCTTATTTGGACTAGAGAAATAGAAAGAGAGAGAAAGAAATAACTAACAAAATAGGGGATATGTTGGGAGCTTCGTTTCTTCGCGTCCACTTCACTAGAATTCTCTTATTAGTGAGAATGAAGCCGGTGGGTGGAAATGTGAATCTGATAGACTTGGCCCAAAATATGACCACATATATCTGGCAAGAGATAGGGACTGTTTGCCTGCATCTAACTTAATCCAATCCCACTTCCCTCCCCAACACTGTACTCTATTCTTAATTGGGCTTTTCCAATGTGGACCACAAGATTACCTCCTTAAAAGCCCATCAGTCACACTTTTAAGGATTAATATTTTTTTTTTAACTTTTATTATCCGAGCTAAAATGTATGTCAGGCTTGAACATTAATCTTTCCTTGCTAGAAACCTTTAACGAAATCATGGTCCTCAATTTATAAAGTTTGTCGACTTGGTAAGTACTATTGACATTTAATACCATATCCAACCCGGTCATTTGTAAGTTTAGATGGTCAGAAAAAAGTTCCTTTTTTTTTTTTTTTTTTTTTTTTTTTTTTTGTCAAAAAAAAAAAATTTTATAATTATCCTGAAAGTTGCACATGTAAAAATTCGTCATTTTGCGTTAGTTTTTATATGTCTTCTTTGGCTGAAGTATTAAACATGATTGTCGGTTTTTGTTACCTGTTTCTTCTTTAATAGACAATTTTTCCATTTTACTTTTAATGAATATCAGTTATTATTCAGCTCCAAAAACATAAATCTCCTGACCTATAAGAAATTTTTGGCTTCAAGAAAGAATTACGCATCTTCTTATCACTAGATGACAGTTATCTTGTTCTCATTTATTCTTTTTAAACATTTTTTTAAATGAAAAAGTCTGTGCACTGAACAGGACAGAATAATGCAGTTAAAGCTTTTTTACATGGGGCCCCAACGTAATCAATTCATTAAGGATTCCGACAATGGGGGCAGAGCTCACAAGTAATCTTGATGAGAATCATTTACGAGATAATATTATAGGTATATGTCGTTATCATTGTTAAAATCCTTCTAAATATTCTTCTAATTTTCCTCTGTTTATTTGGTTCATTTGAATTAAAATTTTAAATTAAAAATAAATTTATAAAAAAAATACTGTAACAAAACAAATTAAATTTAAATATTTATTAAAAAAAATATTGTAACAAAAATTTTAATTAAAAAAATACTTTAGTAAAAACTTTAATCCAGGGCTTTTTAATTTGCTAACAACCCCTTAAGTAATAATCAGAACTTGTAGCCGTTGACTAAGTCAAAGTAAAACAGAGATAAGTAGGATTAATAATTTAGATAACCACACGACGACACGACTTAAAATCCGTAAGAAATTAACAGATTTAGGTTAGGTTTATTATAAATGGGTTTAAGTCATAATCAAGTTGACACGATTAACACGATTAATAAATGTGTTCAGTTAGGGTTGACTTCCTAACACGAATTTACACGATTAACTATATGTGTCATCTGTAATCTAATAATATGTGATATAACATTAAAGTTTACATGACATATTAAATACAAATAATGTGAATTTTAATATTTGTAGGTAAAATTCATTTATTTTTTTTAAAAAAAGATAAATTGATTAATAAATATGTTAAATTTATCTTGATCGTGTTAAATAAATCATTATTATAATAGTTATTTATTCAATATATTAATTTAAACGAGTTATAAGAGTTAACACGATTAACATAATTAATAAATAAATCGTGTTTAAATTAATATTTTTAACACATTTAATAAACATATTATATTTAAATTAATATTTTTTTATATGATTAATAAATAAATTAGATATGATGATTCACTAATATGAATTGCCACTTAGGCACATAATAATATCCACAAGAAAGTCGAAAAACGTCCATATCATAATGACCAATTAACACCAAACCAGAGATCGATCGATGTTCACTCTTTGCAGTTTGCATTGCATTCACATCGTATTCTTCGCCCATTGGCCAACCTCTCAAAAAGCCTTTTTTTGCCCATTAAAATAATAATTCCCAAAATTAAAAATATTCAAAATAAAAGCAAAAGCTGCCAAGAACTGGAGAGTAAGCCGTAAGGTAACGACCGGTTAGTTCGTTATGGAAATACTTTTACTTTAATCTTCTTTAATCTATTCTATTTCTATATCCCTTTTTTTTTTTCCCTTTCTGAAACCCCAAAACTGTTGAAACCTCGCGATCAAGAAATAAAAAGAGAGAGAGAGAGAGAGAGAAACTAGTGCAACTAGCTGTCTCCACCTCGCTTTCAATTTGCTTTCTTTTTTTTTTTTTCCTTCTATTTTCTTCTTTTTCTTATTCTTCCTTTTCTGGTTCTCTACTTCGTTGCCTTTCATAGATCAAACCGCACCAAAAATGTCAGTTCCCGCGATGTCCACGACCGTCGGATCGTTCCACCTGTCGAGATCTCACGGCACCCCCAGCAGGAGCTTCCCTCGAGTCAGGATGGCCGTCCGATCCGGCGCTGTTTCGGTGGCTCCGATCTTGACCAACTTACAGAAGGACTGCGCCACTTCTCTGCCTGTTCTCAGCCACGTGGCAGACGCAATGGCCGCCGACATGCGTGCCGGACTCGCCGCCGACGGCGGAAGCAACCTCAAGATGATCCTCAGCTATGTCGACAGTCTCCCCAGCGGGTACTCAACATTTGTTTCTTGTTAACCACGACGTCGTTTTGTTTCTTCCTGACTTTCCCGACTGTGTTTCTTGGTCAAGTTTTCTAAACTATAATTATGAAGTTTGGTTTAATTAGGCTGTTTTGTTTAGTTGGTTAATTTAAATTTTTAATTGAGTTCTGAGTGATTTTATATAATATTTTTTTATTATAATAAAAAAATTATATGTAACTATTTTTTAAAAATTTTTTCATAATAAAATTTAAATTTTAAATTTAAATCGATAAAATAAATGGTCTTAATGATTTTATGCTTCAATGTAACAACTAACAACGGCTAATCATAACGTGTTCTTTACCTGAAAAAAGGTTTCTGTTTTTTAGGTAAAAGCGGCTTCAATTTTAAAGTTTATCTTTTCGGTACAAGAAATAATCGTACTCTTTAGTCAAAGTTGAAATTACAATGAGGTTGTTGAAAGGATCCGTATATAGAGAGTCCGTTTAGTTCGTTGATTTGAGTTTTTAATTCGAGTTAAGATGTGATTTTATGTGAGAGCTTTTTACTGTAGTAAAAAAGTTAGATGTGATTGTTTGTGAGAGCTTTTTATTATAGTAAAATTCGAATTTTAAACTCGAATTAGCGAAATGAACGGGACTATAGAAAGATAGGCTTTATTTTTCAATGTTTTTCTTTTATGTTTCATAATATATTATATTCCTATGTTTAGTAGTACTTAATTTTTCCAAAATAAAAAAGGAACGAAAAGGGTTTGTTTTACGCATTGGATCTTGGAGGCACGAATTTTCGGGTACTAAGAGTGCAATTAGGTGGTAAAGAAGAGCGTGTAATAGCCACTGAATTTGAGCAAGTCTCCATTTCTCAGGAACTTATGTTTGGAACCTCTGAGGTAACTTTTTATTATTGTTTTTAAGAATGTTAACATTGGTGATATAATGGTGCCTAAATACTTCTTTCTTTGCTGATTTTGTTTTGATTCTTCACATTGCAGCAACTTTTCGACTTTATTGCTTCAGGATTGGCCAAATTTGCACAAAAGGAAGGTGGGAAATTTCACCTGCCCTCTGGTAGAATGAGAGAGATTGGCTTCACATTTTCATTCCCTGTGAAGCAGTTATCAATTGATTCCGGCATGCTGATAAAGTGGACGAAGGGGTTTGCCGTCTCTGGAACGGTTTGTGCAACAATTCTCTTACAGCTATGGATAAATTTGTTGACTTGGCTTAAACATAATTCAAAACTTCGAACTCTTTTTTCGCAGGCAGGGAAAGACGTTGTTGCTTGTTTGAATGAGGCTATGGAAAGGCTTGGATTGGAAATGCGAGTGTCTGCTCTGGTATGCTTCTCATCACAGCTTTCTAAATTAAAATTTGTTCAGGAATTAGGGATCATCAGTATATGATATTCTTGATCTATTTGTTTAGGTTAATGATACTGTGGGAACACTAGCTGGGGCGAGGTACTGGGACGATGATGTGATGGTTGCGGTGATTTTGGGTACCGGAACCAATGCTTGCTATGTCGAACGCAACGACGCTATTCCTAAACAGACGGGTCATGCCTCTGCTTCTGGCAGAACGGTGTGTAGGAGAGGTTTCTAATTTCTTATTGATGATCAAAACTAAGATATTGTCCTTCATGTTGACCAAGCTTTGATTGTTTTAGATTGTTAATACCGAGTGGGGAGCCTTCTCAAATGGTCTTCCTTTGACTGTTTATGACAGAGAGATGGATGCTGCTAGTATCAATCCTGGTGAGCAGGTAAAGCATGGTCTTTTTATTATCACTTTAGTTTATGTTTGATTCTCTTAATGTAACACAGATAACATAAGCTAGGATATGCTATCGACAAATTGTTATAACTTATTTGTGCAGATTTTTGAGAAAACCATATCAGGCATGTATCTTGGTGAAATTGTAAGGAGAGTGCTGCTGAAGATGACTGAAGAGGGTGATTTGTTTGGTAAATCTGTTCCAGTGAAACTATCAAATCCTTTCATACTTAGGTAAGTAGAAGTAGGTATATTGTTTCTCACAACGAGGCAATGCTAAGATTTTGGAAGTACCTCTGAACTTTGTGTTATTTTTGGGGTTTCAAACTCATCTTCAAGAGATGTTCATGTTGATCAATACCGTAGATCATCTTTATCCTCTTGAAATAACTTCATTTAAGAAATTTACAACATGAAGAAGATTGCAGACTTAAGCGTCACATTATTCTTCAATAGTTTCTCACCGCTGTTACTCCAAGTACAATCTGTTTGAACTTTGTAGGACTCCAGATCTTTGTGCTATGCAGCAGGATAGCTCGGCCGATCTTCAAACGGTTGGATCAATCTTATATAGCGTTGTTGGGGTAAGTTTCCATATTCCACTTTTGTGAAAAATTTAACCTCCATATATAAAGCTTGTTCGGAACTAGAACCAATGTGGAACTAGAGGGAACCAAATTCAAGCTTAATTTAAAACAAAAAATGCCCATTTCAGCTGGATATTTACAATAGAGAGTATGAATTTTTATTCTACTTTCTCTTCTTCCCTCCCTCAAACTATATTCTTGCAATGTTTCTGAGAAAGAAAGACAAGCAAATATTCATAGTTTATTTGGTTACAGTAGAGAGTATAACTTTTTATTCCACCTTTTCTACTTCCCTCCCTCAAAACTTCATTCTTGCAATGTTTCTGAGAAAGAAACAAAAGCAGATTTTGAAGTTCTCGGGATATCTTTCACTCAACGAACTACTCCTTTGTCCACTTTTGAAATCAGCTAGAGTCCAATTTTAGCGCAAGGAGGATTGTGGTGGATGTATGCGACACGATCGTGAAGCGAGGAGGCCGGTTAGCTGGTGCTGGGATTGTAGGTATCCTGCAAAAGATGGAGGAGGACTCGAGAGGCCTCATCTTTGGGAAGAGAACTGTTGTGGCTATGGATGGAGGGTTGTATGAAAACTATCCACAGTACAGAAGATATTTACAAGACGCAGTTACGGAGCTTCTAGGAACAGAGATTTCGAAGAATGTCGTCATAGAACATTCAAAAGATGGATCTGGTATAGGGGCTGCTCTCTTGGCTGCTTCAAACTCCAAGTATGAGCATGAATTTTAGAGCAGGTTGAAGTTTTGACAACCTTGTAATGTAATTAGTGTAAGATAAAAAATATTGTTGATTTTGTGATTTAGTTGGATTCGGCGGTGGTTAAACAAGAAGACTTAGTGTGAGTTTAGGAATTCACTTGGAAGTTGTCATTTCAGGGGTGACTTGTAGAACATTTGAGGTTGTTTATACGCCATTGCTCTGAGGTGTCATTTTTTGTGCTTTATTTCTTGCCACAAATGATTATGTTAGTAATCAAGGATTCAAGTGACTGCAAGTACTTGTGGGAGGATCGCAAGTTTAATTCTTTATTTCTTAACAGTATATATAATTTTTTTTTTGTTCAATTTGGTTTCTTGTTTTTTTTTTTTGAAAATGTTTATTATTATCATTATGATTATTATTATTTTTATTATTATTTTGCTAAACTCAATAAATCTTGAACTGAGGCCTTTCTTTAAATCTTGAATTTATTTTCTTGATTTTTGATGAAGAAGTAATTCTAGGACTAAAAGCTCGCGTACTCCTGCTTTTTTGTTTTAAAAAGAAATTAATTGGCACGATGATTTTAAAGGGATATTTACTTTTTATTTCTTGTGTTTTCGGCTTATTCAAAACTATATACTCGGATTTTTTATCCCATCAAAAGTGTATTAGATTTAATATCCTTGGTCAAGTCAAGATTTTCACCTCAAAATTAGGGCCGGTAATTTCGGACACGACACGAGATAAATGGGTTTGGACCGCATAATTATTAATTGGGTCGTTAATGGGCTGACACGAATAACACGAAAATAAATGGGCTGGATTCGTGCCAGCCTGTTTAACACGCTTAACCCGTTTAGTTATACGAACCGTTACCGAGTCAACACGACACGACATGCCCGTTTGGTTTCTCTTTCTCTCATTCTCTCACCTGCCGTTTTAGGTATTTCCCATTTCTTTAGCAAATAAGATTGACAATGTATTTTTCTATTCTCAATTTTTCTTTAGCAAAAGCAACGAGATGAAGAAGTAATCCTGGTAAGATTGACAAGGTATTTTTCTGTTCTCAAATTTTTTACTCTTCTACTCTTGTTCTATGTTGCAAAAGGTTCTCAAGTTTTGTACTTGCCAATGTGGCAACTACATTTTTTTTAGTGTGATAGAGTTTTATGAAGGGATAATATTGTTCATCGACATTTCAATGCTTCCTTAGGTTCTTTCATTAATAAGCATATGGTTTCATGAGAAACTAAATTTTATTTGTTCACTTGAATTTATTGGTCTAAAGATACTGAAAGGAAAAAGAGAAAAAAAAAAGAACTCTAGTCTTCCTATACAGTTAATCATTGATATGAACAGTAGTCATTGTGGACATTTTCCTATATTTATTTTATGTTTTATACACTTAAATATTCAAATGTTTGCTTTTATTGTCAAACTTATTTAAATGTACTTAGTTATGTTTTCAAACTTTTTCTTGATAATCTAGTAGCAAGTATCTTATATATATATATATATATATATATATATGTGTGTGTGTGTGTGTGTGTTTGATATTTGAATATTTTAATGTGTGTTGGCTATTATGTATGATTTTAACTATAAGTGATATTAAGTAGTCAATTAATATAGTTTTGAATACAATATAAAATTTCACAACTTTCACTAGTTGGGTCATAAACGGGTCATAAATGTGTTTTTTTTTTCGTGTCGGCCCATCACGGCACGTTTAGTAATCGTGTTCTCGTGTCGTGTCGTGTTAACCGTGTTATTAGCGTTTCGTGTTCGTGTTTGGGTTTCTGACACGTTTATTAATCGTGTCGTGTTCGTGTTCACTATAATTGTGTCACCGTAATCGTGCCGACCCGAACACGACACGCAAACACGAATTGTCAGCCCTACTCAAAATGTCCAAACTAGTGAACTACACTTGAATTGAAAGGTAGGAATAAAATAAATCTAAAACAATGAAAAAAAACTATAAATATTGAAATTAAAGTTAGTGTCTTTGACATTACTCTTCGTGGATAACCCATCTACAAATATTTTGGATAGTGATACGTGTTTTACAAAATTTCCGAAGATTATAAATATGTGTATGCAACAACTCTTCCTAAAAAACACAGGATTGAGATTGATTTTGATTATTGTTATTATTATATTTTTTGTGCATGTATGATTTGGCTTAGACCTAAAAAAAACTAGTTTGGTTTCATATTCTTTGGAAATCAAAATTCATGAACAGCATTTTACCAACAGGAAATACTTATAACCAGCAAGCAATATTATAAATACATAAAATATGATTGGAAGAGATAATTTTTTGCTTATATGGTTCAAACAATTGAGCTTATAATCACCAGTTAACCACAAAAAACAGCTATATTAAGAACAAACACATTTAAAATTTAACTGAATTCAAAAGAAAAAAACCGGAAAAAACAAAAATTAAGTGCAAGTACAGAATTATAAATTGGAAAGAGAAACTAGTAGCGATGAAAATGCTTTTTTATTTTTCTTTTTAGGAGACTTTCTGGTACGTCTGGCGTACTAGTATGTTAAGTTTTTTTAACTGTTAGGTCTGCATATTTTTTGACTTTTACATGATTTTATGCATATTTGATGGACAAAAAATTTGACCTATCGGTATGTTAGCATACCGAAGAAAGTCCATTTTCTTTTTAACTACTACTTTAGTATGTGATATGTGATGCGTAATATTTTTGTATGATAAATTTCCGCAAGCGTACGGTGTCAAGTTTTGAGTATATGGTGAGTGAGTATCGTCTCCACAGGAATTGAGTTTAGAATTGCCGTTAAATACCGCGATTATTGTAACTTAACTTTATCTAGGCAACCAAATAAGATGATGATTGAGAACTAAAACAAAATAAATATAAGAAAATAAAAATAAAGTATCTATACACAAATGATCCAGGGACTTGATTTCGATTTATTATTCCTATGTTCATCCTATTATGTAATCGCTAATCAATTCCGATCAATTCGTTAATCAAGGCTCTAATGTTACCTCGCAACCTCTCTCGAGTGCCTCACAAGGAATTGTATTTAAATACCCAAAACAATATCCCTCTTCGAAATGAATATTAAAACACAAATTAAGCTTCGCCTTTAGAATTAGAAAATAGGAATATTGATCGCCTCTTGGCCTCACAATGACCTAAATCCTAATTTGATTATCTAACCGTTGATCTCCTCTCGGTCTCACAACAACCTAGACTATGTTTCTCAAATCTAGATAAAGAACTCAATCTCTCTCGAACATCAAATTCGCAATCTAAAAATCATCTAACTCATTGGCCAAATAAATTAGAAGCATTAACCATAGAGAAATATAAATGAATTGAAAACGAAATTCGATTAACAATCAACAAAATATTCAAAACATAGTTCAAATAAAATTACATTAAGTCCTAGATTTAATGTCTAGCTTAACATGGAAAAATAGATGGAAGAAGATAAAACCCAATATCCATTGAAGAGCTTCCAATGACCTCCAAGATGAAGGATTTCGGCCTCCTTTTGATGTTTTCTTCAGATTTCAGGCTCTCATTCTCAAATGGCATCTCATTCCTTTTATACTACTCAGTTTCGGAGCTAGGGCTTCATACGCGCGCTGCAGCCTGCGTGAAAACGCGCTGCGGCGCGCGTTTTTGGAAAAGGCTCCCGCTGTTGTGGGCTGGGGCGCGCTGCAGTGCGCGTTCCTGCTCTGGGCGCACGCCTGGGTGTGGGCGCGCGTGCGGGCCGCGCACCTGGATATGGGCGCGTGCGCG